ATGTACACCGCTTCTCGGCTTTTTAACAGAGACTGGCTTCAATGACAGGATGAATTCCCTGTTGAATGTTACCATATCTGCTCACATTATCATCAGCAGCTTTTGCTGTCGTTCAGTTGATGCCAAATGGAAACCTTTAGCAAGTGAAAAATTTTCGGTATGTTTTAGATGTCAGTAGCTGCCTGTCATTGAATCCCTGGATGTTCATCCGCCTGACCTGTTTCAGCCACTGTACCACTGTATGACTTTAAGAATAAGTTATCTTAAACTAACTACTTGTCTGTATAAGTTTATTCTGTCGAAGGGTCACCACATAATTAAATAGATCACGTGCTCTTGAAATCGCTGCTACTGAGTCTGCCCAAGTTGAATGATTAGTCCTCGTTAGCTGATCAATGTTTTTAATCGAGCAAGCTCGGCTTTTATGAGTCCTGTCGTGGACTGCAGGTTTGGGTATCTTGTATGGAACTGGGGTTATGCGGTGAGTTCAAAAAAAGCCCTGCCTTAACTTTTCCGCATGATGGTCATTCCTCTTGGAGAACTTAAACACTGTTTGTTTCAAGAAGTCAAACGCGATCGACACCGTAATTTGAAACAATCGTTGCTATTAGTCACCCAAAGACGAAGTGTGCGGATGATATACCGAGTTTTGAAAAATACCCCAGAGGTGCAACCGTCCTATTCTGTAGAAAACTAGCCAGAAAGACGTGAAAATAGGAACCGGTTTCAAATATCAGGACCAGAAGAATCATGAAAAGTAAAATACTTACTGATTTCCTCAGTAAAGGAAGTGTTTGTTGTGATTCGGTCTATCCGCCTATCGATTTACAGACCTTCTCATATAGATCCGAGTTATGCATACGGCGATAGCTATCAGTTTGTGGCTTTTTCTCCAATTTTGGCGAGCGAATCAACTGAGGCTGCCAATATCCCCCAATAACGACTCGATTGTTACATCTGGCGGTGTGAGGTGTGCGGATATAACCATGCTAGTGGTGATCATCAGTTTTCTAAAACCGTCTGTTGAAAGAAAGTTTTGTGTGAGTGAGTTGTGTTTGAATGAATGCATCTTGGCGACTACGGTTCGAATAAAATCCACTGCACATCTTCAACGGATCGACGATGTTCCATGAACTCTCCCGGGATGTCTTTGGGCGCATCTGACTTACTACGTATGAATAGGTGTAAAAGATGTATATGGTTTTACTAGCTCCTTGAACAAACAATTGGTAACTGCTCCGGATTTAGTTGACCGCCAGAGAAGATATCCCAACCAAGTAGAACCGTGGGCATCTGAAGGCTGAGACGGTTTTTGACCAGGTTTAGGGCATTGCATGATTTTTAGGACCTGTCGTACTTCGACGGTCTTTGTCACAGATACTGCATAAAGCAAGGAAGCGTCTTCCGTTGCTTTAAGCAATACGTAAAGTGAGATAGCATACTGAGAACTGAATTCCTGATGTGAGCGTCTCCATCAAAGAAAATAGTTCCGCTGCGACACCCTTTCAGTGTCTACCTGCCACCTGAAGGAAGCACGAGAGCTGGGATACTGTCAAGTTGCCCAAGCCTGGGCAGAAGTCGAGAGATCGGGTTCGAACAACGGACCTTCCTGTCAGCACATCCGTGCTCTAAACAGAGTGAATTATGAATTCACTGACTTCAAATAATCGTACACTTTCTGATGTTCACTTAGAAACCAATGCTCATGTGTGTTTGGCTATGGTTGTAGTAATTCCACGGGCATCTGTGTAATGAGCCTTCGATACACCGTTGTGACCAGACAAATAGAACATCCCTTCTAGAAAGAAAAAAAATTCTCAACAGGACACTGGTTTCTAACGTCCATTCAGAGAACTGGATCGATGTTCACAGGCCTAAGAGGGAGCTTGACAATTCAGTAAAAATAAAAGGTTTTTATCGGACCAACTAATCGCAGGCATACGGCACAAATTACATGCTGTGGTTGTTTGTACCTGTCAAGTCTCTCACATAAGCCTGCTCTCATCCACAAGACAAGTCAATATCTGATATGAATCATGATATGAACCGTGTTTCACACGTTGTGTACCAGTTCACATGGAGTTGCGGTGAAATATACATGAGTAGAAAAGATGTTAGCTTATGCGAACTCGTCACCAAACATTTGCCGCGTAATTTGGGTCAGGCTTCTCATCGATCTACCCGCCTGCAAGACTGCAAGCTGTGACCCGAAAACCTTTCTAATCAGTCGTCAGACACACCCTCTCCACTTGAAACAGTGCCGACTCCAGTACTGCTTTCAGAATTTCACCTCGCAATGCCATCCTGAAATCGCCAGCTTTCAGTAGGACCACATAGGCTAATCAATACCGACTCAGTTTGGCTTATGCACTTATCTGAAAGCCAATTTGGTTTTGACGGGATAATTACCCGGAACCCAGTTGAATCTCTCGTTTGTGATATTCTTCAACTGCACTGAGGCCGCCTCATATTTCAGCTGGTATGATATTCCAGATATCGCACTATGTTTTCATAAAGGATGCTACTCACAAGTTTGCTGAAAATTCTTCGGCAGCCCACGACCGGTTTCTTCCTTCTTGGGGTTCATCAGATAAGTGCAGTCCCCAAGTTCTACTTGAACCCAAATTGGACAGAGTTCGACAAATACACTCATCTGCACATCACTTCGGCTTTCATGGCAGATTCAAATGAATCTCACAGGAGCACAGTCCAAGGGTTTGTAAAATATCTGTAGACCAACCTACCGAGTGGGGGAAAATCTGACAGTTGGCCTAGCAAGACAATACGGTCAGTTAGTGGTTAATGGATGTACATGATGGGTCGGTACGCTTACGTACACAATTGTCAGAGTTCACCGATCACAGGACAATACCGCTGAGTCTTGCACACGGTCGCCCTAAGGTGTTGATTTGAAAATTTCCAGGAGTTGACACCACACTCGTCACCCAGTGTTTAGACTAACTAGCTGTGATTCCTCAGTTTGTATGACATTGGTGTCCAGAACAGATCGACAGTTTTACGAAGACTTTTCATTGCTACAGACATGAACGGAAATGGTCATGTGAATTTTCGAGTGTCCAACATGGGCGTCCAACAACGAACCACTGGACAGCCGTCTTGGACTGCTACCCTTGAACTTCACCTGTGAGGTAACAATTTGTAAATACAGTTCGATCTAAATGGGCCAGCGGTTGCTAATTAGACTGGTAGCCCCTGGGCACATTTAAAACGAGACTGAAATGTACTTTTACCGGTGTTTCCAACCCAATCTCTTGAGTACTTCCTCTTTCTATTCAGGACCGTATGGCAATAAGACAGCAAACCAATGCTGCAAGAAGCACAAACGACCGTAACAAATGTATCTGTGAGACTTCTAGGACCTGTGCATGAACTGGGTTACATAGAAAGGACTGCTAGTTTCGCGGATTGACTGAGGCGGCTTGCTTCGCATCATCCCATATGAGCGACCACCAATCACAAAGCGAGGGTTGAAAGGGAGTGAAACGGAAATTCGATTATGACTATTTGTAGCACTAGCGCTCCCCAACGAAGCTAGCCGCACCCTACGAGCTCCTTTTGTGTCACTGCTCAGTAAAAATGGATTTCATGTTAATCCATGTGACTGACTACATTTCAGGTTACTCCACATTGGTTACAGCTGGGTGCCAAGAAAAAAGCACGGAGAGATTGACTCAGACGTATACAGAGCAGATCCGGACCGTACTTTTTAAGACCCATGCTGTCTGGCTTGAAAAGTGTGAAGCACGCGACCAGCTATTGGGATAAAACTTAGTATTTACGTAGATCTATCCCACATACGTTACCAGTAGCTGCAGGTTTGTGTGTTTCGTCAGCGAATAGTGCAGACGCTACTTGTTTATGTCTGCCCGTAAGCAAGTCAAAAACGTAGAGGTTGATGGTGTACCAGTAGCGCAGGTTTGTGTGTTTCGTCAGCGAATAGTGCAGACGCTACTTGTTTATGTCTGCCCGTAAGCAAGTCAAAAACGTAGAGGTTGATGGTGACGGGCTAAACAACAAGGTACAAACGCGCACGAATCTGAAAGCCTTTTTGCACGTCCAGCCATACCATTACTACTGGATAGCTTTTGGAATCGAAATCGTGAGAGAGCCCTGACTCCGCCTTCAAATCGAAGGGTACGAAATGCTAAAGCTCCTGTAATTCCTTAACTCCCATGGTTAACATCTTACCCTAGGTTGCCTACGTGACTTGTTGATGTGAAGAGTAAAAGGATTTCCCGGGAAAACAATTCATTGGTCAAAGGATTTCTCATGCCTCGAGCCAAATCGTACCACCGCCTGGATTTCCAGACAAAGGCTTGCCGGTATTCACCGGCTAGTGGTAAATAGGAGAATATCGTACATATCAATCAGTACAGCCAATCTTAGACTCATGAGACTTCGGGCCAATCCATCGGCCCTTCGTCTATTTCTATCTATCATTAAAGCGGACTCAAATGCGTTTTCGAGCTTGTCGGTCAGTTATTTGAAGAGTGCGGTTTCAGAGAAGGCGAGGGATTCGCAGATGCTATTGCCCGACGCAAACTCTCTCTGTGAATGCTCTACTGTTTTGAACCGGTTGAAAGCAGCTGGCAGAAACCCGGCACTTGCAAGAGATTGCAGGTAGCCAGCTAGCCGAATGCAGACTTGGACCTAGAACACTCCATGCCACTGTCAAAACGTCCATATTAAGCATTAGAAAGATTCGCTGAAAGTTTTCTTTCAAAGGAACAGAACAGTAGAGAGATTACCAAGAGAAACGATTTATAATACTTTGTACAGTACTTAGAATCGGCCTTCATTTATGAATAGTGAAGAGAGGCTACTCGGTGACCATGTCTGAAACTCCGTTTATATCTTTGTGGCATACTGTAGCTTCGATTTAATATTTTTTTCGAAAAAAACTTGTTCGTGGTTTAACCATTATATAATTTCCACCTGCACATCATAACCCCTTCTATTTCCGACTTGAAATTCCCAAGTCAGTCAACCCTGAACACTCAGCACGATCGAAACGAGCTGAGAGAAATCTCCATTGTTTCGCGTGCACGCAATTCCGATTCTCTCTCGTCCGTTCCCATGACACCAGACAGCGTGCAACAAAATACCAGAGTTGCTTCCTCAATGGGGCATTCGACTTGCAGCTCGATCAGTCAGGCATCATACGATTCAGACGGTTTTGCAATCCAAAGTACAGCTTCCGAAATGTCCAGTATGTTTCGATTTCAATCAACCCCACCCCGAGTGTCCTGCGCTAGTCCGGTGATGCGATGCAGCGGAAGTTTCGAGCGGACAGCTTCTGGGTCACGGTTGGCTGCTGGGGCTTTCGACACGAACATGCAGTATCCCAATGAAGTGGACGAGGATAACATCCTACGAGACTTTGAAGTGAACAGTCCAACTGAGACGGACAACGAAGACGATGGGATTCATGATAAACTACCTCGATTACACAACCTTGTAAGATTGTGACGATTAGTTCGCTATCTTCTAGTGTTTTTTTCCTGCAATTATAATCATTTAAGTACTTTCATGAAGGTTGCATAACATCCTACTCCCATTCCACCCATGTTCCAAAAACAGTTTCACTTTCTATATCGACTTTAAAGTGAGGTGAACCAAGAGATGTCCAACATCTGACCAGACGAAAGGGAAATGAATATATTTCGAAGCGTCTTGGCTCCATCGCTACAACTATTCTGTTATGATTTGGTTATGGATGACTTACAGTGTGCCTTGTTGGAGCAACTTTGATCCGACACCAGCGACATTCTGGCTGTTTTTCACATTAGCAGCGCCAGACTTTTTCTGAATTTAACCAGTAGAGGCAAATGAATGTGGCCAGGTTGTAGTCACTGAAAAAGAGGAAGAGGATGCACGCGGCTTGGCGAAGTCTCCGTGTTTGATTGTGCCAAAGTAGCAAGTCTGACTGGTTCGTCTATGTGAACAGTCGAACAGTAGTGTGCGATGCTGTGATGAATTCAGCAATGATTGCCGTCTGTATGGTTAACTTGCGTCAAACAGTCCCACCCCTTATGTTAGCCATCCCGGAGTTCCCGTCTCCTGCTGCCTGTTTACGTCGTAAACAAATTGCTTTCGGTTGTTTTGTTAAGCCACCCATCAACTATGTATTTCAACAACAACCTCTTTATTTTTACCGAAATTTTCTTCGTTTGTGTGCACTCTATGAGGTAATCAAACTGAATTTTGACATTCTTCATTTTGCTTGTTCAGGTGCTCAGAAAAGACAGCTTAGGAGATATATTGGACAGCCCAATATCTGCTAATGATCACAGCCCATTGTATGATGACAACACGGGTGAAGAAGTATCTTCCTCACAAGACGACTCAGAAAGTCCAGCTGATTCACCAGATGTACATTTTCCACAAGAGTTTCGCAGACGGTCTTCGGAGATCCCGATTGTTGAAGTGTTATCTGGAGCTTTGTGTGCCGCTGGCTACGGAATGGTCGGCCGGCTGCTCGAATTCTGGCTGCCACAGAGAACTTTCTGCGAGAACCTATTACGTTCAAGTGGAATTTCCGGTAATACAATGGCTTACGTGATTTATTATGTACATTGCACTTATCACATGACTGTTTGACTATGAATAATAAAAGGACTATATCCCGGTTGGTTTGTCCCTTTTAGGGACACAATTAAGCTACCAAGGTCGAACATTTGCGACAATATCAGTGCGAACAAACTCAAAGTTTCATGAATCTGAGTTTCATAAGATCTGAGGAGGATGCTTTCGAGAATGTGTCCTTGAAAATCTTCACAATGAGTTTACTAGCTTCGTACATAGTAATACTCAAGCTTTTAACCAGGAATAAAACGTACAAAGGTAAAGCGTGTCGCGCGTAGGATTCAGTCCACGATCGTCTTACACGAGTGTGTGCATGCAGAAATTCCTGACCGCTTGTTTTTATTACGCAGAACTCTCCGACGATTTGGCGTGGCAGAGACGAAAAGCCATTTTGAGGGAGCTTTCCAGAAGTGTAAGTTTTATCATCTTTTTGTTGCTTAATGGAGATGAAAAAAGTCACCTTACTGTCGGTGAATAAGATGTTGATACAGAAAAGACTCGGATAATGACAAGAGTTGAGTGGAATGTTGGTTCATGTGAAGCGGGTTGCTATGCCTAGAAAAATAATAAGTATGAAGGAACTTTCAGCAAGGGAACAATCTGCACTAGTACAACTATACCCAAGGCGATCCTTCTACGGCTGTATTCAAGATTATTCAGTAATGTTCCTGTGGCTTGTACGCGAAAACATGTATAGGGAATGAAAAATTAAAACGAAACATCTTGGTTTTGAAAGTGCCTTCTGTACAATAAGGGAGGCATAAAGTTGGCATTGGATGAAATGCACAGTCACTCAAACTACACTTGTCAATAGACTAAGAAGTCACCAAGGTGAGCGTGTAGGTTCTCACGAACTTTTCACGCCGATTGACCTAGAATTTCCTAGCGCCCTCTTGATAATAGCAGATGTGTATTCATTGAGCCTGAACACATGAACCGCCAAACTTGACGTGGTCTATGTCAAAAACGAGTAGCCATAATTTTCAAAGCATTGTGTGGTATTCGTGGCTTGGCATCCTTTCTTTCAACCCACTCAATCACCAATTTGCCACATGTGGCTGTCATAAAAGACTGGGATAAGATTACACCCGTCATGTGTTGATTAGTTCGTCTAGCTGATGAAAGCAAGAAGAAGCCTATCTCATCAGTTGTTTAAATCTATTCAGTTTCACGTCTGAGCAACACAGTGGTATGCTATTCAATAGGCAGATGTGGACTGTATATAAATCACAAACACTCGCGTCTAGTCACTGACATTCGTCCATTCACCAGGGTCTACGTTATTGTCTTCCATTATTTCTGCAAGTCCTTACACACTTCAGAAGAATCACCAACACATGAGATGCTATTTCTGCGGTTCTCGAAATTCGTGGAGGTTCTGGAACTGGAACCAGAAGATAGAACTGGTGACAAACCGTGGATCAGACTGACCGCGGCTGATAGGGTGAGTCATTTCCAGAGTTTGTTTCTCCTTGCATTCTAAAGACAGGAGCACGCAGTTTTTTTACAATCAAGGCTGAACCAAACCAACCGCTTGGATAAAAAGAATAGTCATCCACGGACTACCTAGCAAAGATGGCTTGTGGTTGAGACTGAGCGATATTTTTCTGGTTAAACTCGTTTTACTGACATATGCATCAGAGAGGAACTTTGTTTTTTTTCCTGATTGCATTTCGAAACCAGAAACATCCGCCATGAATAGGCGTTCGGGGCTGAGTACTGCGATGATCCCTTGAGCTATACTGACTGGAAATAAGTTCCACAAGGGGGCAACCATGCCAGTGAAGCCAAATTACAGCAGCCAATCGAAGTGAGCCCACCTATTACAAAGTTGGGGGGACTTGAGGTTGCACGGTCCATTGTGATATGGATGTAAAGGTACTGGGGTGTTTCTTCCAAGCCACCAGCATGTCCATCAGTGGTGCTAACTTCCCCGAGAAAAGGGGGCTGGAGAAGGTCGGACTCCAATCTCTGAGCCGTTGGAAAAATACCCAATAGGGTCGAAAAGCAAGAACCTTGAGCTGGGCCTGGTGCGGCTACAGGCGCATCTGCTGTGCTCAGTTGCATCACCAGTGACATATTCTGCGCTCTCCGGGTGGGCCAACAGGCCACATACAAGTGAACCAAACTACGTCATTGGCTCTGGGCTAGGTATCCCGTGTAGGGCCTATGACCATCTGCCCTTTTATTTGTCAGAACAAATCCCTACAGCCTTCAATTAACTTGCGGTTTAGGCAATTGAGTCAACGACTCAGGAGTGGGTATCTCAAATAAACCCCTTCCTCTTCCTGGGCAGCTGGAAGAGGAAGCGGCTCCTCATTCAACCATCCTCGCCCTCGTGATTCGCCAAATCATACACTGTGGTCGCGAATCCCTGATGAGTGGTCTGAGGACCATAACACAGACAAATGAGTGGTTGCGTTTCGCTGTATGTCTCGAGCTGTACTCTACGGAATAATTTCAAGCAACTAACTAGTACAAAGAGAGAGGATTTTCACCAGTGAGATGTCACAACCAAGCCAATCAAAAACGAGTTTCAACGACAACCAGTTTCTTCTCTTTAACCAGTTCCGATTTCCATCCTGTGATTGCAAGAGATCTCAAAATATGCGGCATCTTGCAGTCCAAAATCCTGTACATTATACGGAACACAGCAAAGCCCACTATCAAACAAATGATGAGCCACTGATGGGGTCCGTATCAGTTTTTCACTTTCCCCCGACCGTGAATTTCTTATTTGGGCTTAGTGAAGCGAACTGATCCAAATCGCTTTACGCTTTATCAGTGAGATTAAAAATGACCGGTGTTTTGTAGTTCAAAGCGAATTCCCCCCATGTAGTATATGAGAAATTNATATGAGAAATTTGTTATAATTTACTTCGGCATTCAGAAAGACTCCTTCGAGCTACTCCATCCCACTGCAATTTGTATCAAACTAATACCAGGCCTGAAATGTAGATTTGTAGTTGTACGGTAATAAATCGTGTATTTTAACAGCAGCGATGATGCTGGGTTCACGTGTGATTATTCGAGCGTCAAACAAACGAGCCAGTTTGTGTGACAGAATGTAAGTAGTTATTTCCGTAGTTAGTTCCGACATCCGAAAACGTGAATAAAAAAGAAATTCAGGAGAGGCAGTAGAGTGGTTTCGTCTTTCCTAAGTCCTAGGCTCACAGCCATTCAACGTCATTTGGATTCATCCGTCTCAAGGGACATTCTACGAGGCTCCAGCCGCGCACGATCCACTGCTACCCTGATGTACAGATGTGTAGGTGAAGATAAGATCAATGGGTGATATACCTTCACTTAAATTCATACTACTCACGAGTAGCATACGGCTATAAACAATGCCGAAGTGGACCGACCAAACTCAATCTTTCGATTCAATTTCAGGCTCGCATACGGCGCGAGTTAAACGACTACAAACGGATAGAAATGTTTGTACATTCTGACAGTGAGAAAAACACGAGGTAAGTGGGATATTTTACCTCCATATTTATCACACCGTTCTAGTGATTGGGAATATGCACTTGTGACTTGTGGCATTGTTAGTGTTACTATTATCATTGCTAGTAGTAGCAGTAGTAATATGGCAACCACTGAGCGAAGTATCCCACATTTCTGTCATGTCATATTCACATTTTCGTTGTTCGAAACTTGGCGACGGTGAACTTATGAGCATTTGGAATGTGTTCATTCAAACGTTGCAACTGCGCTGGTGGTCCTTTGGGATAATTTGGAAGTGAACTTGCAAACAGTACTCACTAGTCCTACAACTCAAATTCTAGCACTATGTTTTTGTCATACTAAAACCGTATGCTCTTGGTTTCTCTGTATACAAAAGTTGTCAAGCCTAGTTGTTAGTTCGGCAATGCAAGAATCTCTTCTTGTAAGTACTTAATGGGTACCTGCCAATGAAGCAGAACTGAACAGCCGCCTATTCTACTTAGTCACGCTTCCGGAGCTTGAGCACGAAAAAACGACACTTTACCACGAACCGGAATTGCCATCTGAATGACTAGGGATGTGGCTCGCCAAAAAGCGCTGAAATCACATGATGTGGGAAACAAAAATTTCGGACTGTCTTTCTCAGGCTGACATTATACAAAAAAACAGTCCTCCTTGGAAGTTCTTAATTTGACCAGTATTACCGACCGCAGCCTGTAGTTTAACGTCTAAATTATAGCCAGCGGGACGTCTGGCCATGACCTTGGGAGATCTCGGATAAGTTCATGTACGGATCGCGAAAAGAGAGAAAACAAGACAGCACAATGATTGATAGAACTCGCGAGAGTGATCTCGGTGACGATAGGTCTCAGATTCGAAGGGTGGCAGACAAATGTCAGGCGAGTGGTGGCACAGAGCTAGACGCACGGAAAAATTGCTTTGTAAGCCAAAAGGGTAGACGATGATTCCATAGCCATGTTAGTAACTATGCTAAACATTCCGGACAATTTTCTTGATAGGTGAAGTCTGAATTGCATATGAATCATCGGGTGTATTTATTAGACCTTTTAAAATCGTCAACAGTTTCGCACAAATTCCGGATGTGCTGACCTTGAAACAGAGATTTTCATCCCGGATTTACCCGGCATAAAGGATTTTTGTAAGGACGAATATTGTGGGTATAAGACCTTTTGGGAATATCCCATAACCCTAATCTATCAGGTCAGTCGTTTCTCAAATGACGAACAGAGGTTATCATATCAATCGGCCAAGATCACGTGTATTGCTGCTCACTTGTTGTGTTGACCGGAGTGACTTACACGTAATAGTGAATAATCCTGGTCATTGGTTTATTTATACACTAGTTTATTTCCACCGTTTTCGTTTCACAAGTTGACTGTTGCTAGTAGGCTGGCGGTGAGGTCGAACGAAAGGTCGACATTGTACGAACTTTAGTAGGTTGCTGTACAAGTCGAATACAAGATTGTTAACGAGCAGTTTATCTACAAATATCACGAATGATGGTGATACTGTGACACTTGTTTATTAAAGCTGTTCGCTATTCCTTATTGATTCGATGAACGCTAAACTTTGCTCATTCGGTCAGTTGGAGCTGTTTTAGCTGTCTACATGTGAAATGGCGTATTCATGGATTTACATCAGAAGGTAATCTCAGCTGCCAAGTTTAATAATAATGACGATTGGTGTTCACGCACTTGTAGGTCTAAGCGCTGGCTTAGGGTTGGTTTGACCAACCTCACTAGTTGGCAAAACAGGACAAGCTGTCAGTCAGGCTATCGTGCTCGATGCCCGCTTTTATTCGTTTGATTTTGAGAAAACAGCTCGACAGTGAATAAGACCAAACACAGACAATATTGTGGTAGGCCAGTCGGAAACAGTTCGATGAGACGCAAAGAACAACTGTGCTCGTCTACAATGAGACATTACCCCGAAAACTCCGAGCAATTTACAGGAGGAGGGGAGAGACACGTTTCGAGCCAAGCCGAGGAAGTTAGATCAAATCGGAACGAGGTGCATGGGATAACATGCACGCATCCGTAGCAGGAGGTAGGGAGATAGTGAAAACAAACTACAAAACAAACTACCAGACTAAAGAAACAGACGCCTGATTCACCATGTCGAAAGAGGCGTGTGGACCTAAAACTCAGTCTACTTGCTGCGGATCATTCAGACAGATGCTCTGCAATACACTCACGTAGATCTCGTCTGTCGGGTCTACGTGGGTTTCGCTGTAAACGATAGGAAAACCTGACCATCTGTGACTAAATAATGTACGATCTTAAAGCTGACAATATTGGGAATTCCAAAGCAGGATGTCTGGTTGAGTGCGGAGAAAACTGGGCGGCGAAAAGCGGTTGCCATGGGAATCCATTTGAATAACAGCCAGAGAAGACGTAACTGTTCTCCAGTGTATCAACCACATCACAGTATAATGTTGATCGTAGAAATCTTAGAAATGCCCATTGGCTAATACATCACGAGATTTTCCTGGGAATATCTTGTTAAAAATGTATCTGGTAGTGCTAAACCACCAATCTGTTTGATCTCACGTGGCATAGGCTAGTTGAGATGTATTCTGCTCATCTGATAATAAGGTTGAAATGATAATTGTCAGATTATTGGCAAAATTAGCGACAGTGGTAACTGACAGCATCTTAAAAAATACAAGATGGGCCCTTGCACTGCGTGAAATCTGAGTGGCTGACTGTTCGACTAAGCAATACTGCTTAGATCAGTCAACTTGAAGATATGAGTCACGAGCTTCAAGACATCGATTTCATATGAGTAATGTTCTGCTTTGATGTCTAAGCGTGGACACCATCGACAATAAAAGAAATCTCTTTCACGGCAGTGACAATCAGCAACCCAACCAAAATCATGTATCATAAAAATAGCCTGTGGTAAAGGCGCCGTTCTAACCGAAGTATAGATTTAGATTCCAGGACCGTATTCGCCTTAGACGGAATAATGTTACCCATATAGCGACCGACCTCGTATTCATAGCTCTGCTTGAAAATGCATATTTTCTCACTACGTGATTACATCCCCTTTTCTCCCCACAGATACCACTCACCATGAACACTGGCCCGGAGGAACAAGGGCCCCCCTGCATTTCGGATAGGTGAACTGCACTTTCCGAATTCGAATATTTCGATGGTTTTTCACAGGAGCAACTCTGAAAATGGCTGTTATTTTTCACTAAGATATGGTGATAAAATACTCAATACACAAGTTGCGTCTCTCTCCCCGAAACTGCACAGCGCGATTCGAAGCAAATGCGGGTGATCGAAAAAGGGCTAGACCACCGAACGTGGTTTTGAGTAAATTCGGAAATTTGCAGTGATGGTCGAAATCCTGATATGACTGCGGTAGTTTTTCTTCCAACCTAGTAATTCTAGTCCAACGAGCAGATCGCGGTAATTTAGAAAAAGGGAAGTATACAAAATCCGGAAACGGAATTCCAATAAGCAATTACAGCAGATTTACGGTACGAACTGATAAGGTACGTCTATTCGGTGGCGACGAAACAGTACTCCCTTGTTCAATAACCGGTCGCGTGAATTCAAACTCTGACAGTGACAATCCCCAGTGGTTGTCGCTCCCAAAAAAGGTTATACAGTAAGTAAGCGGTCGGAAAACGGGGATTTCCAACAAAAAACCAAAATATCATGAAATCTACTTGGAAGAGCGAATGCCTCTGATGTGCGAGAAGTCCCAATGTAACCCTGGGCATCAGGCATCTCTGGCACTCGTACCAAGATGTTTGCTCACCTTCTGATCTTACCACAGTGAAAAAACATGGTTCATCATGACAGTTACCAATCACCTGTCTCTACCTTTTGTGAGTAGTAAGATGGGTGAGCCGTACCACAGGACTTATCCAATAAGGTTTGTCCATTAAACTGTCCCAGGCACACAACCCTTCTAAGGGCATATGAAACCTACATGAGGCTGGAACAAGCCCTTCAGTGGCATGTTCGGAGTGACGGTTGTAATGGCTGGTGTATGAGAGGAGAGGGAACAGAATTCCTACATCCAATTGGAAGAATACCGAGACGCTTTCGGTGGAAAATAATTGGTGTCACCAGATACCGTAAACTGTTTGATTTTACAATTAGTCTGAACTGTGGGCGATGTTGCGAAATATAGGTAGTATGGGGTTGCTGCTCTGGTCTGTTCACTGGGTTTGGCACTTGAATGGCGAACGTTTAATTACAATTTGAGGTGACATAGCGCGGGGGGGAGTGGATGAATATCTCTACTTCTGCCTGTGCTTGTACAGTTTCCAATAACTCTAAAGAGACTGGTTGGTCCGGAGTTGGCTTTTGTGCAATTCAGTTGGTCAGTTTGGAATTCAAGTAGCGTTGTAGTATCATTTGTTTGTATTCGACTGTGACTTCACTCTGACGGCTCTGGTCCCCGGTTGTGATTGAGTCATTCCCTTATTTCGTGGTCCGATTTCGACCGACAAGTTGTACAAAATGCCCTCGAGAGCATGTCTCACTTCTCAGCACGCAAGGCGATACCTTTGAAGTGGGTTAAATATCAAATCAGAATGGATTACGAACTCAGGGGGCAGCAACTTCAAAATGTGTTGAAAACTTGGATGTCCCAGATCGATTGGCAGCACAGAAGACGACGCTTTTCACTATACAAAAGTTAGCTAAATGATTATCTGCAGAATACCCCGGCACTGGTGAGATCTTTCCCCACCCTGCAATGCAACCGAATATTGCGTTGCATCAACAACTCCTATGAACCAGAGAAAACGCGCCTTGGGTACATACGACCGTCAATTCAGAACGGGTTGTGAACTCACTAGTCACTGACGTTCTGTCAAGGACTTTTGCCTAAAGCGCAAGTCGCTGGCTTGACATAACGCGTGTTGGAAATTAGTGACTTGTAGTATGAAATCCATATACTCGGGGTTCACTTAGCAGCTTCGCGTACATAAGATACAATTGTGTGAATCCCACATGAGTAACCACGATTGGTAGACCTTGTGACTTCAAAAATTGAAAGATTTCTAACTATAGTCTGACTTGGTGGTAAAATAGAAGAGGGAAACACCAGGAATAAGATGGACTTGAAACAGACGCGTACGAAATTGTGTTTATGAACCCCGACTACTGCCTTCACTACAGTTCTCGTTCGATGAATAAGAACAAAGTGTGCTATCTCTGCCAGATTCAAAATAGAACATTTCAGTGAATCTGCTTATTCTAATATTCCTGCCAACGACATTTTAGTATGCGACGATTAGCACAAGCAATATGTACACGGTCTGCAGACAGCGATGACGATCACAAGATATTCCGAACAGGATGCCAAATACAAACTTGAGGCTGCATTGACACTCTGATCAGGAAAGATACCCTATACAAGAAATCGTCACTAGGGGACCTAGATTAAGAGAAATAAACTGCGTGAGTGAAGGATGAGTCGAATTATATCCCATCCGAGTGCAGGGCGACGAAACAACTGATCAACCATCCACGGTAACGTTCAGCCCAGGACGTAAAGTTTGTCTGTTGGAGTCGCCCCGGAAATTCGAGAGGGCACCCGTGACTGATGAGTTCCAAAAAGTATGGGAAAACTTTTCGAACATGCAGAAAAACTGACTTCGCCCGCAGAATAAATTTCAAATTCGGAGGGCACAAGTCACGGAAATGCGATAGCCAAGGGATAGATTACCCGACTTGATTGGAGAGGACAAGCCTGGAAGAAAAACCAACTGAATATGACAAATTTTCATCTATTTCCGACATTTCTGGCTATCGTTGTCACTGGTGTTGGTCAAGGGAACATAAAAACAACTGACAAGTGGAACCAACGAGGGGGTCAGCGCTGAAGAGGGAGCGAACAGAGTTACAGAAAATTGAACACAGGTGTGAGAGATGAGCAGAGGAGGAGAGTGGTCTGGATTCAGACCGATATAAGCCAGATAAAATAAATACAAATTTGGGGTTGATTATGAGGACGTGGAAATCGGAGTTCCACGGGAAAGATCTGTAACCAGGAGAGTAGAGCGCTTCCACACATCGGACAATTCACAATAAATGAGACAACTGGAGAGATTGGATAGATGCGTTCCACTGGAATGCGACAAGGGTTTCACGAGGAAGGAGTCAGCAACAGACGACCTCGTCTTCGCGACACGGCTGGGTGAATATTACGGAACTCCGGTTGTGGGAAGCACTAGAGACGCGCTGAAACCAGTAGACACATGGATTAAAGGGATTCGAAATCCAAAAGCAAACGTCTCTGCGATATATTGGGTTAAATAACAGTCGGAGACCATACACCTGAGAATGACAGATCATGAGGTGCAGACAGAAGATGACAGAGGATCGAACCCGATATCGCCACGAATGTAAATGCATTAGGAACTGGAAACCTGGTCAAACATCAGTCCCATGGAAGATGGTGCACCATGTTCGTCGAGTATCACAAAGCAACACACGGCCGATTCGGCCTGTGAGTTGTGCAAGATTAAGAGATTCAGACACCCAAACAAAAGAAACACCGATACCGAGTGAAATTAGTGGACAGGGTGTAGGGAGAAGTGAGAGAAAGAGAGAGATGGAGAGATGCATCAATAGGCTTTAAAGTATGCAACGCTTAAGTAGACGAGAACCTATGAAAAGGGAACATCCGAATAAAAATGATCCCACCTGTCGTGTCAGAGATAGAGAAAGAGGCAAATGCAACTCGCAACAACTGGTCCCAATCTCATCCAATCTAGTATTGTGTTCATTGTTGGTACAAGGAACCAGACAGGGAGAGGAGCAGACCGGATTTACAGCACATCCGAGTGAGCGACTTGGTTAATTTGAAGTGGTAGGTGGTCGGCATGTAACCTGAGAGTTGTAGAACTTTATTGTACTGAAAAAAACTAGGCAAGCGGCAGGTGAAGAGATGACTTTCGAGATTTAAGTTACAACAGACTGGTGTTTGGTGTTTGTATACGGTTACCCTTCTCCGCAGGCACCATTCTCTGAAACGCATTTCGATTATACGTGACCTTCAAAACAGGTGCACCTTGGGCCTCTGAGGCATACTGTGCAAGTGGACGAAAAGTGAGTAGTTATCTGGAAAATAGAAATGTTTGTCATACCAGAGACAGGAAGCAGACGACCAATCAGACGTACTTTTTGGTGGAGGTTAGGCTTCCGAGGTCTGGTGCGCCATCCGACTGCACTTTGTTTTGAGCCTGAGTTTCTGCGGTTTGCTGACCGGTAAGTCCATTGACTACTTGGTTGGGTGACGCAGAAGGTGGGGAAGTGATACACACATCGGCTGCACACGTGGAGAAAGAGAGACTGAGATTAACGCATCAACCCAATAATCATATAACCCACGATAAAACCATACAACTTTTCAAGTAAACTACTTCGTATAGTTTCGCGCGAAGGTGCGTCATTTTCACGTTAGAAAATTGCAAAAACTCGAAACGAAATAAGCTATCTGGTTTGCACACATCGGGTCCCACGAGGTGACACCCCCTAGGTAGACTGAAAGCGAATAAGTACCATGCTGGGATCACATCTACCTAACTATAAGGTGATCAACGAGAATCAGAATAATAATTATAGCGACACACCTAATTTGGAGAAATTCTCCGAAAAGGAATCAAACATTCGAAGCGACCCGTTAGTCACGATTACGTAAAGTTCACCCAAGAGGAGAGATCGATCGAAAGATTACGTCGAAAATGCCATTGCTACGGGCAATGGCACCTTCCCTTAGGAGGTGCCTTGTGTCTGCTCCTATCCCAGTAGCTTGATTCCTACGGTTTACACGACACCACACGAGGGACACAGCACAATCACGGCATCGGTATCAAGTAATATGTGCTAAACGATACCTAGGTAGGCCAGACTAAGCACACTTCTACTGGTGACCAACTCACAGGTGTGAGTCATTCAGTTTTGGTACAAGCGAATATCGAAGCCCTTGAGTCCCTCTATATTCTAAGATCGAAATCGCCGATTGATGTATTCAAAGAAGGATCGTCGTACAATATGGTCACGTGGTATTGTGGCAGCAGAATTGCCGACAAAATTGATGACATCCGGTAGCAAGTAGATTTGCTAGTAGCATGGTGGAGATTTATAACCAGCAGCACCAATAAAGACTCCCCTGTGACCGTAGTTCCATGATTAATTTACTCGCAAATTGGCTGGATTGATTGGGTGAGGGAAGTGTTCATTTTCTGACCTCATCAACCATGAGCGTGAAATTAAAATATTGAGCAGAATAGCGTGAGCAATGATAGGGCCTTTTTCATCATGCCATTCATTGCTTTAGGATAAGATCACGTGTAATGTAGGAGAAATTCATAAATAGGTTGAATAGGGTAACAACTTCCAAGCTTCAGTAAGTTGGGGCTGCAGTTGCCTAATTTCAGGGAATGATTTGGAAGCAATCGTGATGCGGATAGATTATTGTGTAATGCTGTTTCCGGCCATCTACAAGTGGTATTCAGGTTTATGAATGCGGGGAATCCAATAATGAATCCCTATTCAGAATCGACCGGTAACAAATTGAGTGCTCAGAACAGACCAAAGTTTCTAGGATGGGTCTCATGCAGTAGTACTATGAGTAAGGGTCTGTGCTTAATATTATTGTTATTAATAATAGGGCCACTTAGCGATCGCAATCTGATTGATTGGATAAAAAATACAGCTGGTCTGACTGTTGCTTCTTTGTGACACGGGCTCGCTTAAAAGTACCAAGCCTGATCGCAAGGTTCGATTACCCCCGTTGGTTTTAAATAATAAAAAGGATGTTTACTGGTCCGCATTCTGCAAAATGAGTCACACATTCTGCACAGCTTTCAACAAATATCTACCAGAAGGGACCACTCTTGGTCGGTTAGTTGACCTGATATCTTCTGAGGGCAAGACTGTACTTTCACTATTTTTGGGCACTCCAGTACTGAAATTTGTTCACGAGTTTACAGCATGTTAGAAAGTTCGGACGCAGCTTGGACCATGAAAAGAAACACGTGACTCGCAGTCACAGCCTGGCGAAGGCAAAAACCGAAATCGGATAGCACATATGANATATATATATATATAGTGGGGTTGGCGGCAGAGGAACTGGCAAGTGCAATATCGTCACAGAATCACCCTATCCAGACCAATAAGATAGACGTAAATAAATCTGCCTAATGGTGAGGAGTAAGTGCAAACTCGTACAATGGTTTGTGGCTGTCTAGACGGATCCACAAAGTTCACTTGAGCGAGCATAGCAGTCTCCATCGCTCGTTTATAAATCCAGCCGTCTGGAGATAAAACTATACGGCTGCCCTGAAGGGGATCCGGATATGCGTATTTTCGTGGAAGATTGTTGGATAAGTCAGATTATGTCACAATTCAGTTATTTACTAAACTCGTTGATAGCCTGACTGTCGATGAACGATATGAGGGAAATGATAAACGCGAATAACCTGTCAAATTGAGCGAGACTGCCAGTAATGGGAGTTGTCGTCGGCACTGCCAGAATAAAAACAGGAAAGAGCACGAAGTCTATTTCACGTTGGCAAATGCCACTGTGTATGTGATCGTATTCGAGCTCCTACGGTTGCCCACACCCAAGGCAATAAGGTGACCGGCCGATCAAAATGGAGCCATATAAGGAAAGGGAGCAGTTGAATACGCCTAGAAACGACTTCTTTTCAGCAGGATCGGTTGTGACTGACTACTCTCTCAGGGTGTCCCCCAAGTGAGCAGAGCACTCTGCACTCCATCGTCAGTAGGGTCAAAAAACCTGTTTGGTCACTTCCACACACAAACACCACAAAGTACCGAAGAAATGCTCCTCAGAGTACAAAAAATGAGAAAACCGTCCAGCTATGCCCTTTCTGTGTACAGCTGTCACACCATTCGAAGGAAGCACAAGGGTGAAAATACGACAGGTTGCCAAAGTTTAGACAGGAGCAGTCGAGATGCAAGGGTTGGGTTCCAACCACAGAAATTCTGGTCAGTAAGTTCGCTCCTCAACTCCTGAGCTTTCTCAAGCTCAGGATAACCAGCCAGTTTGTGAGGAGCTAGCGAAGCTTTCAGGGAAGCTAAAGAGGAAGTGACAAACCAAGAAATCAACTAGCAAGCGTATCGTGGACCACCCGTACCCGAAACACATGCGGCACCTGTACTGAACTCAACAGATAACATCTCGCATCATCTTATTCTGCTTGATCACATATTATACAAACCTGGAATTCTGAAAAGTACCAAGATGTTTTAGGTGAAAGTCGATGACTACAAATCGAAAGCTACGCATATTAGAGTCATTACCTTGGGGCTTGGACTGATCCTTCGGCTCTTCGAATTGAGCTACAAATCGCTACGCATATTAGAGTCATTACCTTGGGGCTTGGACTGATCCTTCGGCTCTTCGAATTGAGCCCATCCGGTTTGTACTTCATTGGTACCGTCTGATCCGTTCGTCCCGGTTTCCCATGGGTCAGCTGTGAGCGAAAAGAGGTGGGCGAAGAAAGTAGAAGAACTCGACACGGGGTGGCGCTTGCTCCAAGCACAGGTACTTGCGTTGGCTACAACGCTGTAAACATGTAAACATTTGCACCGTCGTTGACAATGGAACAACCAACAACTCACCAGTAAGACCTGAAACAACCACCGGAGCCGAAATGCCCATCACCGGTGATATCCGAGTTGCCCCAGAACGCTGTTGTCTGATAACGGCAGGGGACTTGAGATCTTCTTCCTCTTCATCATCGTCCTCATCATCGCCATCATCTCCGTTATTCCTATCTTCATCTGGTTCACTTTCGTCGCTGCTCATGCTAGCTATGCGTGCAGAACGGAAAGCCGTTTCATCGTTGAGGTTGGATGCAGGTTCCACAGGTGAGTCTGGATCGTTTTCCGCCTCTCCCGTGTCAATCCACATCGCTGTCGAAATGGACGAATTTGCGCGAACCACGTCATCATTGTCGTTGAACCGATCCCCGGAAAGGTTACCAAAAGTCAGACCAAAACGACTTCCTGACGAGGTCTTGTTGTTCAGCTGGTCCCCAAACGAGAAAGGACTCAAAAGCAGCGAGAATCTAAAGAACGGAAAAAGAAAAAGAGGACAAAAAGGGGACGAAATCGCGGGTTGTGAACCTGGAGGGGTCTGTCAGTGCAGTTAGATGCAGTATAGCAGGTACGTGATCGAAATGATCGCACACACACACGGGGCCCTCGACTACAGAAAGGAACGGATAGATTGTGTTGGAAGCTGCTGGAATGGAAAAAAAACAGAACTCTTGGTGTGGCACGTGACCAGGTTTCATACAGACCAATCAACAGTCGGGCGAATACAATTTATGAAATCAAGAGGAGGCATCGACAAGCTACGGGAGAAATTCTGTTGGATTGGCTGAGAAAAATAGATTGTGTGGAAGCTGCTGGAATGAAAAAAAAACAGAACTCTTGGTGTGGCACGTGACCAGGTTTCATACAGACCAATCAACAGTCGGGCGAATACAATTTATGAAATCAAGAGGAGGCATCGACAAGCTACGGGAGAAATTCTGTTGGATTGGCTGAGAAAAAATGCACCAGAAGCAAAACCTAAGGTGATCGAAAATCCGACAGCTCATCACCACGTATGCCGTGACAAACGAAATAAAGAGGCGGTGACGAGATCAAGTCGGCAAACACAACGGTAAATAGTATCAGCGTAAATCCGACGAACTCCCACACAGGAATGATGGAAAACAGTGAGAGACCTCTATGGGGTGGGGTGTTTACAGTTGAAAAGCCTGTGGAGGCGGTGCTGAGACACGCTTTTCGATAGCTAAGTCTACTGCTAATCAACAGACCGCAGATTCGCCATAACATGGAAGGATGCCATTTCTATAGTGCAGCCTCTGCTTTCTATACTTTACTTTGCAACAACGTTAAGTAGGAAGCATTGTGCTTTCTAGACTGATGACCTTGAAGCCTTCTCCCCATCGTCTGGGTATGGTCACCTATACCAGTCTACTGTTACTATCACAGCAAGAATTCTCCTGAATCCACGTTTTCCATTTAACCTCCACGCTATTGACCCATAAAACTCTACTTTTAATCCCAGTAATCAGTCATGGAACACGAGAATTCCTCCCTTTACCCGTGTCTGGAACCACACGACTATGTAGGCTTCCTGTCCAACAATCTTCGGGTGAACAATCTTCAGTCTGATTAGACAATTGTGCGACTATGTTCTCCGTGAGTCTGGATGCATTTCTGCGCAGCATACAATAGTGAAAACATCCCTACGGGGGTCACTCCACCATGTGATTCACAAACTTGTTAAGGAAAAATTCAAAGCACACTCGGCAGCCCAAACAAATCACCAAGAACGAAAAAGTCGTAGCGCAAACTTTCTCGATCTCCCGTTGATTACTTGACGGAAAACGGGTCTTTCACGCGGGCTTGCCGATATTGATTCCAATCCATCTAAAGGTATCAGCCAAAAACCCATGTAAACTGAAATAAACGTATATACACTTCTAAATTTTTGTAAAACGAGCCAGCTGAGTAAGAATACCACACAAAATCCCAACTGAAGCCTTAGCAACTTTTCAGCATCAAGCTTCGATTACCACAAAAAAAACACGCTCTGGGTACAACAAATTACAAGACGCTGGTGCAGACATACATACTTGAAAAGGGCTGAGGTGAATCTTGCTCAAAGAGGTCACATGCATTTAACCTAAAACATCTTCACGTATATCTTTGTAGTTTAATACTCATAAGGCTGCTGAAAATCCGTCGACAGCCCACGACCGGTTTCGCCCTTTTTGGGGCTCATCAGGTAGGCGCAGTCCCCGAGTTTCCGTCAACGTTATGTTCTACTTGAAACCAAATTGCACAAAAGTAGCGATATCTTGAATATCGTAGCGACTGCAACATGAGGCGGCCTGGTGCAGCCCATTCAGCTGTCTGAGAACATCACAGACGAGAGATTCAGCTGGGTTCCAGGTGGGTCTCTCGAAAAACCAAATTAGTTTGCAAATGAGTGTATATTCGCTAATCTGCATGTATATTTTAAGATATGGTCTGAAGTTGTGAAATATCCCCCACGCCGCAGTTGAGAGTGAATGGTTCCAGTTTCCTGATGGCTCAGGAAGGAATGTACACCAAGAGAGAGCAATGCAAAGGAATTTCATTTTATTGACTTATATTCCCTCCATCGTTACATGTGATCTTTATTAGAAAAATAGTAATTTCAGGTGATCTAAAGTAGAAATGATGGGAAGACTGGTTGTGAGTGAAACGCGTTTAGAATTCCTCTTCTTTTGGTGGCCAACCCCATTCTACAACCTCCATGCACTCACCTAACTTCTTTCTGATCCCAACTTTGTTGCTTCAAGAGGCCATCTTATCTTTTTTGCAAATTAGAGACTCCCTGTCATTTTTACCACCTTTAATTTGGATAGCCCGTTAGCTAGCTGCAGTCTTATCAAGTCTGATATGCAAACGTCTATTACTGAAATCCCACGTTACCGCTGTATCATGTAACATCTGGCGAGGATGGGACCATTGAAATTCTGTCCCATAAAATGGGTGGGTCAGCTGGACTCTTCTTCGTCTTCGCTGTGTTCCCACCTGACTTAAAACATTCAGATGTGCAATGCAGTGATAAGCTGCAGATGCATTGCAGAAAAACCCGTCCGTTAGTTGTTTTCCCGTCCCAACCAAGAAAACCGGAGGTCTTCTCCAAACGGTGTACGACAAACCGAAGTGGAGTATCGCAGGTGATACGATGACCAGAAGCCGAAAAGACTCCCCAATTAACCAATGAGATTTAATCGTGTCTAATAAATGTTTCGAAGTCCCTGTGTCCCGAAACATGGAAACGACAGGTGCCAAGCTTGAATAAATATTCAACACAGGATCAGATGAGAATACCATGTCTGATGGAGTCAAGAGGCGAAGAAAGTGACGTGCACATATAAGAGGAGGTGCGATCCGGACAATCCAGCTGACAGGATTTGTAATTGGCACGATAGAAAAAACAGAGAAGCTCACAACCAGTCACAGTGGAGGAGCCTATGACTTGGAGGGTTGTTCCTATGGTAGGTTAACGTCAGTCGGGAATGTTTGACCGGAAAATCCGGGTCGTTTGCACACGAGAAACGACAGGTAAACACGGCAATACTTGCTGCCGATGACAAAGCAGCCCATGTTTCAGGCTTGTTAAGTGCGTTAACTTTGGACGCCATCCAAAAAGCGGAGCGGGAAAATAGGGTGCGCAGGTGTTTAGCATAGATGAAAAAGCCTAACAATAGCCACTCCCAGGGCTTCACCTATTAAGTGACAAAACGATCTTCGCACTATCGGCAATTTCACTCACGGTCTATGACGCCATCTATAATAAAGAAGAGAAAAGTTCACAGGTAACCGATAGCAAGGGTTTCCCTAAAATACTGTGCCCCTCGAGAACGAAACGATTCAACTGGATAACTACTGCTTGGTGTCCTAGAATTATGGCTTCCTTGTTTCTTCCACTAATGCTAATGGTCAGCAGCCACCTGTCAAATACAGCCAGCCTTATGACCCGACAAACTGAGACTTCGCGAGGCGCCAGGAGGCTTTCGGCCGAATCGTAGAAACAGGAAACCTCTGAATTGGTCCCATATCATAGACATATACCGGAAAATGGACGTTACAAGTCTAATCCAATTAAGTCACACCGTCCGTTCAAACAAGATTCAGTCGGAATAGTGTGATTCCACATAAAAATATAAATAAACACGAAAACCAATTTCATAAACAAACCGTTGGAAGGCAACAACCATATGTCGAGGGTGCGTGAGGTTTTGTTTGGGTTGGATTTGTTAACTTCCGTTTGCTCGACCAGATATATCACAACATTTGAC